TGGAACGTTTCGCGCCATTCCTCGTGCAACTTGCAGATGAAATGATACGTCATCGTCGTATTTATTACGATTAGAAAAGCAACGATGTTAAATAGGCAGGAGATTGAAAAGGCTTCTAGAAGTTCCTTTTACGAGCGATACTCGCTTGCTGCGATGTTCCCTCCCCATTGAAAATCGTCAAATATACACCGATGCGGATCGTACACGCGGCACAAACATTTTGATACTTTAATTAATCGTACAATTTAATTGAGAGGCCGAATCAAATATTTCGCAGAGCAAAACGGGCGATTCTTCTCGCGACGGTCAAATCAACATCGCGGTTGTTTGAATCGTGCTCTCTCGTGTCTCGCTCTGGTTACAATGCGTTTATAAAAACGCATGCCATTTATTTCAACCGCTCATATTTACCCGCGCAATCGTGTTTCTCGGATAAATAGCGTTCATCTAATTGCGAAACTGAAATTGTACGCGATACAAGAGTGATTATTCGGAGTACGCGTAAAAATCCGTAATAAAAATTATTTATATATTACGATTGATTTAACGTGCGTGTGCCCTTTTTTCTCGATGTAGATGTAAGAAGCAATCTAATATATAAACGTAATATGATGAAAAAGATCATGTAAACATCGAAAAAAAATAAAATACAGTGGAGAACGCACTCAAATGTAATTTTACAGTCTGCGGTGCAATGCGTTTCGTTCTTTCTGCCTTTATCTCGCTTTACCTCTCCCCATATCCCAACGCACGCGGTAGACAAAACGGCGTCGGCGGATAATAAAGGCATCGCGTGTGCATAATTATCTGGTGTACCTTCCTGGAATTAATTTCGAGCTTCGCTGGAAGAGAGCTTTTTTTGCTCGCCCCTGTCCGTTAACTCGGTACGTCGGCCTCTCTCCTCATTCGCCCGTTAAACGCACGAAACTCGCGAAACGGCTTTGACTACCTCAACAAGGCGAGACAACGAGCGGAAAGAAGCATCGCTTCGAGAAAAAGCACCGCGTTGCGAAGGAATGCGCCGAGAAAAGTACTCCGCCTGAGTTAAGTTTCACTCTCTTTACGTCCGATCCGTGCCACCGCCACGTCGTGATGAAGTTTGTCAATAAAAAGTTAGAGCCGTTAAAGGAAACAAGAGGGAGAAAAAAAAAGTGTGTAAAAAAAAAAAAATGAAATTCTCGCGTTCGTATTCGCGTCGCGACCTGTTGCCTCGACCGATTTGCCTCGAGCCGATGACGACGAGCCTCGGTAGCGGTCTTTGCGGAATTAACGCGCGGCTTGGATGACGAAGATCGAAGATCGAAGCCGCGACCCGAAACCCACGCAATTGCCATTCGTGTGTGGCAACGCAGATCGCATGCGGTTATAGATATACACGGCAGACACTCGCTGCGTGATAGAACGCGCTTCCCTGATGACACGCACACGTGTGGTTAGCACGCGACGGCGAGCTGCATTGTGAGTGCGCCTAATGATTAGCCACCGCAAATGGACATATGGCTTTCCTCGTGTACATTAATACGGTCTGCCCCCGCCCCGACGCACGCCCGTGTACTCCGAATCGCGCGTGGTCTCTCCCCAGAGGGGAGGGGAGGGGGGGGAGACGAGCTTTTCCCGATCCCGATTTCAAGTGAGCGAGACATCGACAGCACCGATATCACCCGAACCGATCAGCGTTTTTGTTCGATTTGGACGAACGCTCGCGTTGGCACAGGCATGACGAATTTCACTCGGTATCACCCAGCGCAGCCGCGAAACCTTTGCAAAATTAAATGGACGTCCCGAAATAGGAGTTTTGACTCAATTGACAGGTCGCCGATTTTTTTCGCCGATGTTTGTCGAGTTTCTTCTCTCTCTCTCTCTCTCTCTCTCTCTCTCTTTTGCACCGTGGCAATGTGCGATTCTATCCGGCTGCGCGAAACGCGAGATCCATGAGAGAAATGATACTCCGTGATATTTTGCAAGTTTCATTCTTGCGCGGTTACGATCATGAACAAACCCACGTGCACGAAAATCGTTAGAGACTGAACGTGAAATCGGTTCGACGGTTTTGCTCATCCGTTGATGCTGAAATCGTGAACCTTTTTGTCGTGTACGATCGTGTTCGCATTATATTCACAGATACGAGCGCATCGCGTCTCGTGACACCATCGCGCTTTGTGTCATGCATATTTTCTCTCTCGCATCCCATATTCTTTTCACAATTCTTCGGACGTCGTTATCGAGGAGTATTCGGGCCTATCGGTCATTCTATTTGCATGGACCTCGTATCGTCGGAAATTCTGTTTCGATAATGCCGACGGAGAAAAAAAATTCCGGAACAAATGCGCGGATATTCGGCGAATTTTTCAGTGCAGCTTCGTCTCAGAAGGTCTCGATTAAATCGAGAATGTTAAGAGTCTCTCATACAAATGTTTTCGAATTATTTGTCGTATGAAAGCGCATATTGCTTTGCAATTAACTAGTCTAGTTATCAAGCGACTGAGAAACCCTCAAGGGAGGTTAATTAGAGGTGATAAACCCACGATCGTGGGGTCCCGCGCGCGATGGTCGGAACACTCGATAAATTTCGATCGCCCGCAATTCTCATTGTCGCACGCATTGTCCGCGCGTAAACGCACTGTCGTATCAGCCGCGTAATAATTCGCGCGGTAAATCGAGCGCACAGTCGGACAACCTTTCGCGCGACAAATTTGCGGAAAATTGCCATCTATTCAAGCCGCATTTCAGATTGCGACTTGACGTTTTGAAAATCTGCACCATTTTGTTAGCGCCTAAGCGGGTAAGTAAGTCACAGGAAGGATCGTTTCCCCTCCTCCCTCCCCTTTCCCGAACCGTCGGTCGGAAAGGGCAAAGAAAATAGAATTCCGGACAATTGCGCGCTTCGTACTCGCGTGGAATAATAAACAACCCATTCAATCTTTATCTTCCTGCCGATGGGAAAACGCCGGCGATCAGCGAGCCCCGCGTTTTCTGGCAGCGAGACGGAATTCTCGATGACACGATAGGAAAAAAAAAAAAAAAAAAAAAAGAAAGAAGAAGAGAAGAGCGCGCCGGAATCCCGTTCGAAATCAATAAAGTTATCCCTACCCGCTTCCGCAGAATCGAAATAAAACGACTCGGCGATGTCGCCGAGTGGCGGTGCCGTGTCTTCCGTTCGACGGGAGTAAAGGTAGAGGATCCCCCAGTCTGACTCGTGTGGCGGATGCTTTTATTATTATCTATCGTCGTACCGAACGTACAGCGAACAATTTTCATCTCGCGAATCGCGCCAGATTATTCAGGCATGAATTTTGATTGGCCGCCAAGCGAAACCGTCGGAATTTATTTCATTTGTTGCGCGGGACTTTGCAGAAGATTCCGAGGCCGTTTAAAAAGTTTAAAACTCGCCGCGCCGGGCGCATAATATAAAACATTTTTTTTCTGATTGATTAAAAGAATTCGCTGTTTTACCTTCATCTTTTTGATGTAACGTCACGTTGTGAAACTCGATTGTTTCGTCTCTCCTCTCCTCTCCCGAGCAATACGTTTAAATGTATTATCTGACGCGGCAGTTAACTAAACTCTAATAGACTAATTATCTCGGCTGCTCTTCACCGGGGAGGATGTTAAGGCTGACGAAATTACGAATAAGTTTTCAGCAAATTGCCAAACAACATTATTCCGCGCGTTGCGCCATATGGAGTTTGCTAAATTCGCTTGCAGCCGGATAATGACGGCAACGGCGGAGAAATACGCGGTAAATAAAAATTATCATGGGTTAATACACTCTAATTAATTAACCAGCACTGCGAAAATACAGCCGATTAAAATTGCATATCTCACATATTATGTTTAATACATACGATTGTACCATTTTTACGTATGATCGCTATTTCAATTAGTCTCATTATGCTAATAATCGCGATATTAAGGAAATAACTGCGGTACAAATGCAGTGGCGTTGCAACAATTCGATTATTTATGTCATCTTCCAAAATACGAACTTTTTAAAATAAATTCCAGTATGTCAATGGAATAAATCGTCGGGTCGATGAAAAAAGGAACGAATCTTTCGGAAGAGGAAGAGGAAGAGAAAGAGAGATATGCAAAGTGACGAGAGAGACTAAGTGAGAGGCAAAGTGACGGCACTCCAACTCGAATACTCACTGATTCGAGGCGGGACAAAAGCTCGGTCGGTCGGCTACGTTTGGTTTTGTTTCTCGTGAACGCGAAAACGTAACGAGCCACTTGGCCACGTTGCATATTTCAGAACGGGCCAACTAGCCAGCCAACCAGCCAGCCAGGCAGCCAGCCAGCCAGGGCGAGCCCTTCGCTGGAAAATCCGGATGAGTGTGGAGCTCGTTATGTAAAATCGAGGCCACAATGTCGGGGAGAGATTGCTAATTAAAAAGGATTTAATTGTCATTCCATCGGGCCACGCCGTCCTTTGGAACGGAGAAAACAAAATGATCTTCTCTCCCGTCGATACGAGTCTTTAAATACCAATAACTCGCGTGTCCTATCCTATGAATCTATACGGTGTCCAAAGTATCGTTCGAGAAATATCCATTTCGATATACGAGTAGCAAAAGTTTCCCCGTGTGCCCATAATTAAATTGAGAGAGTTTAAATACATTATAAATAAGATCGTTTCAAACTTTTGTGTCTCACTTCGTTAATAAGTTTATGTACGCTTTACGTAAAGTTCATAAACCGATCGCGGTGTTTGCGTTCGTGGAAGCGAAACTTGGCGTCGGTGAATTGTTAAAATAAAATAAAAGCTCCAACGCTGAGAGCCCCGGAAAGGGACGGGATTTACTTCCAAGCTGTTGGCGCTACTACTTTGATATCGTACCAATTGATAAATTAAATATCTGATACTCGATGGTGAAGCTAACGTGTAGTTTGAAAATGTAAAAAGATTTCAGAGACAACAACAACATTTTTCGTCGGTTGCTCAGTTCTTTGCTTTTTGCGCTTCTTCGCATTTTCGATTTATACGCGGCTGTCGACGGCTCATTCTCATGCAAAATCGCCTAACGCGGTAACGAGCTGCAAAACAGCTGTTTGCCAAGAACGCGAAAACGCGTTATGTCACTTTACCAGTTCTGAGTAATTATTCAAGCGAGAATGACTCACCTCGCGGAGCTCCTTGATCTTCAGGCCTCCTTTGCCGATGATACATCCCGCTTGGCTCTGATGTACCAACATGCGCACGTCGATCTCGTCGCTGCCGTGACGAGAGCCATTCTGAAATCGTGTCTACAATAAATCGTGGAAATTTAAGATACATGTTTCTGCTGCTTGTAGCAGGGAGAGTCGATCGACGCAATCCCAAACGAGCGGGATTGCGACGACGAGCGTGAAAACGCGTGTATCGTTGATGAATAAAATTCAAAAAGAGGCGGAACAAGGACGGAACTTCGGCACTTACCTCCTCCAGATTAGGTACGACCTCGTTCAACACTTGCAGAACAGTGGGCAGGTCCGAACTGATGGTGAGCACCCTAGAATCAGAACAGCTCCCAGAATTATGCCGAACTTGGTGCGGCATGGATTTCGCGTACGTGCTATATCGACCATACAGCCCCGTGCGAATGACGTACGTTGTGCGTACGAAAACGCGTTCGCGTGTGATTACATCAACCAGCGATGCCACCCCCCTCCTCCCCTCCTTCCATCCCATTCCACGTCGCCGTATTT